AAACAAGTATGTATTCAAGCCTATTTTTGAAGCCCTTGTTTCCAGGTTCTTGAATACAAAGCCAGGGCTGAGACTTTCTTTAGTCATTTGAAAACGTTGGAATGCTGTCCACATCCTGATGGAGGCTATGCGCATTCTGTCACGGCTTCACTGCGCAGCGAGCCTCCGAACCATCTGGAGCACCTTCCGCCAATGGCCGCGACCTTTCCGTCTTCTTCCCTTTTTCAGCTTATGGAGCGTTGATGGATGGTATTGCATGCTCGTAACCTCAGCTGCCTCAGCTTGGCATCACTGCGCCAATACATACCATCTTTCAGATTGTCAGGCAGGTGCAGCTGAGACGTTTGTGTGCTGCCCAAAAAGAAGGCAAAGGGCATCGGGTGTGATTTACGGGCAGGGTAATTAGCTTGCCACCCTTGACCTGTTTACGTTTCTCATTTGATGCATTCTGTGCGCATCGCGTAGTTGGCCTCAAGTACTTCCTACAAGATCAAGAAGTAAGCCTCAGCTGTTGGTGAACCAAATAATGTCCCTGCCCAAAGAGGTCCGGACATTTGCGGCGGCGAAAGCATCGAAGGCAGTGGCAGCCCCATTTGTCCCACAAAAGGACAGAGAACAGAGTAGAGGCCAAAAAGAGACGAGATTAGGTCTTAGGCTCAACAAGAATCAACAATACTTTGGTTTCGCTCAATGTCATATGAAACCCTCAGGTCATTGTCTCGGCTTTTTGACTGCGTTGAAGCCACAGCGAATGCGGAGCTCGCGGCTATGGCGCTTGCCACATGGGCCTTGGTAGCCAAGGAGGCCTGGATGCTCAATGCTTGGTGCCACTCAGGGGTTTTCCATTCGTTTTCTGCAAGTTCCCTAGCGCATTCCTGGGTTTGGCAGAGTGCTGCAGTCTGCATTCTGCTGTTGTGGTCTTCCTGCTCCGCGCATAGTTGCGTCCGTGGAAGAGACGTTGAGTGCCAGCACAATGCGGAAGTTCTTCCTTCTTTTACGTGTGCAAGTCGAATAAAAGGCAGTTCGGCTTTGCCTGCGCATCGTTTCGTGCCCAGGGGTTGCAAGCCCTGCAGGAGAAGGCAACTGCGCGTGCCGCACGATCCATGACGTCTGCGCACCCAGCGTTTCTCATGATGAAGTTAAATGACTTGTGCTTGCTCGATGTACAAGCCCTCTTTCTTGACAGCAAGCCATGCGTATTGTTCCAGACGGCGCGGAGTTCCAGTTGTGTTTTTCTAACAGATGGAAGCGAGGATGCGGAATCAACAATGCACAGTGAGCCATTGTGCTGATATGTTGATTTGAGGAGAGGTCCAAGAATCATTCTTCGTCTGCGGCGGCAGCTCCTGCTGCAGCAGGCCTACTAGGGATTGCTATTGGGACTGCTATTCTACCTGGGGACCCTGACCTGACTCTCTAGGATCAGAAATATAACAGAATTAGAATTGTGAGTTTGCTTGCTGGAAGCATGCCTTCGTCCAGTCGTCCAGCTTTGTAGGAGTCTTTTCAAGTCCAACATCCCTGACTGACACATATGGATCCTGAAACTTCTGGCAGGCCTTCCGGGGCTGGCAGCACGTGCGCAAGCCCGGCCTGGATCTTTGCAGCCCTTGCGCAAACCTTCACGTTCCAAGCAAGATGTTCGGTGCAGTGACAGCACGAAGCCTGAAGCTGGGGAGCTTTTGCCTCTCAGGCAAGAGGACGTGAAATAACAAGACTGCAGTCAGAAGATACTGATTGAAGAGAGAAAGAAGAATGCCAGGCTGCTACGAGGAAGTCTTCCAGATGCTGACGGCCACCCAGGCGCCTGGTCGAAAGACGTTTCCGTCACTGCTGCCTGTTGTGGCCGCAGCAGTCAAATTCTCGTCTCGGGACTCCAGCCGCGTTAGCGTTGGGCCACGCGCTTCAAACAAGAAAAGCGGCAAACAGAAGCCATGTGATGCAGAGGGCTTTTTTTCTGTGTCAGGCCGATCTGGCAAATGCTGCAGAGGTTGGCGGAGTGTTGGCATTTGCAAGCATGTGACACTGGTAAATCACCACTCACTAACTTCCAGTAATTCTAGTGCTTCCACATGTCTGGGGTGGGCTGACAATGGGAACGCAGGGTCGGTGATGTTTCGGATCGATTTGATTTAATGCTTTTTTTCGAGGCGGGCCTTACCGAGACCTTGTCCTCAGCTGATAGCCTCAGTTTGCTGCTGCCTTTGGGCAGCTAAGCAATGTTAAAGCTGTCAGGATGCAAAGTAAGAAAGTTTGGGACCTTTTCAACTTGCCCCTTCGAAGCCTTTATGGTAAGGGACTAGGTCAAGCCTTAACAAGACCATCGTGCGGCAGCCTGCAGCTCTCCCTCCCCTGAAAGGCGGTTGCGACGGCTGAGGCCGCTGCCGCTGCAGCTGCAAGGCACCGAAGGGGGCTACCTCGGCCTCCTCCTTTTTGATCACGCCTGCCGCTCAGGAACCAGCATGTGACGGTCCGTGTGCTACCTACGCCGCTTCCTCAGCTTGCGTTTGCGATGCCGTGATCCGCACTAGGAGCACGTCCATTGCAAGGATTATGCCCTGTGCAGCATCCAAGATCATGAACATGAAGGTTTCTTGCTTGAGGCTGGCTAGCCATCTTAGCTCCACGGTCACGGGGCGCCATTCTTTCAGAATGGCAACCATCCGCACCTTAAACGACTGGAAGAAGAACTGCAGCCACTCAGTGGGTTCAGGTTTTGCACGCAGCACAGAAAGCTGTTCGCCATGGCGCCTGTGCTACGGTTCCAGGTAGCGCTGCTTAGCACCTGGACCGCAAAGACGCATGACGCAATCTTGAGACATTATAGTTGTCTTGTAGAATTTGCAAAGCCGAGGTGGCCGAACGGAAGATCTGGAGTTTGCATCGAGACACGGCAGAATACTAGCTTGCTGGTACCGCAGCTGTTCCAGTTTGACATCTCTTGCAAGGAACGCCTCCCTCTCGCTGCTACGGCGGGAGCTTCAGCATCGCCTGGGCGTCGGCGGAGCCTCTCCGATCTTGATTGGCATTTCATTTAAGAGCTTGCTTCTTCAGAGTACTTGCAAAACTAGACCTTGTACTGCAGCAGCAAGGCTGCTAAAGCTTGCTGGGAGGAATTTGGTTCTGTTGATGCCTGCATATGCATGTGTTAGGAAACCACTGGGCTTATAAGGAGGCGTGGGGGGCCCCTCCGTGAGAACCCCCTCGTAAGCTGCCTTACTTGTTTGCGAACATCCCCTTTGCGACGCTGCCGTGGTCATGGTGATGATGTATCAGAATTAGGCGGCTCAAGTCTGAAACAATAGGTCCCTCGCAAACGCTTGGAACAGGGGGACAAGCCCCTGTCTTCAGATGCATACATTACAAATTCGATCCTCCTGAAGACAGCCTGTGAAAAAAAACTAGCAACCGTTGCCGGGCCAGACTGTAACATGCATAGCGTAGCGGTAATGCCTGAAGTCTTGATAGATGGAATTAGGTAAGCCTTTTCACAGCGGATGGGCGCCCGCTTGCGGGTGCCACTGCTTTGGAGTGCTTTGGTGTGGCATTGGTGACTTCTTTCAAGGCATTTCCAGAAATGTTGGGAGTGATTTTGTTACGGGTTCCCTTTATGCTTTGGGTGAGTGGGCGTTTCAGGCGTATATTGATGAAGGAGTGGGTCGGAGATTGAGGTGGAGTGGTTGACAGAGGGGAGGCTTCGAGGAACTTCAGGTGCTTGGTGGGAACCTTTTGAGTTTATTTGTAGTTTGTGCACTCATTGAGCGTGCTGGCAACTCCGACATCCCGCAGCCGTCATTTGGCAATGTAAAGTAGATGATGGAAACGAAGCCTCAAGAGTGTCCGCATAGTCTCGCGCCTGCCAGGGCATAGTCGGCATAGCTTCGCGTAGGCATGCGCAGGTTCTCTTGCCCACGTAGTCGACGCAGTTTGACCTACAAAGGGTGCTGCACACATGGTTGCTTATTCCAGGGCTGGCACGTAGTCCGCTTAGTGCACGTAGTTGAAGCGAGCCATTCCGCATAGTCAGTGTAAGACTCTTGCAAGGCCAAGGAACATGTATTCTTGGACTCGCGCAAGCATGAAGCAACACCGGCCAGTGTCTCAAAAGCTTAAGATGTTTAGCCTACGCCAACAAGTATTGCACTGAGCATGGAGGTGATTTGAAACTAGAAGCTGCAAGCGCAACTCGAAGGCTCGTTATTCGTGTGACAGAGCAGGCTTGCTGGTATCTCGCACGGCTCGACGCTGACGGCCACCATAGATCCGGCGAGGTGCCACAGCGCGGAGGGGCTTGAGTGAATTCAGTGCATGCGCACAGCAGAAGGTGCATGTCTGTGAACCGGAGATGTGAGGAAGTATGTAATGAGCATGTCAAAACTGATGCAGCAGGGGGAGATCCTGTTGTTGAAAAGGATCATTGGCCATCGGGAATTGCCGGCCTTTGCCCTCCTTCAGGCAGTGACTTGACTTGACTAATCGCGCCGAAATCTTGCATGCTCACATACAGCCTTGATGATGTGCGAAAAGATTGTAGTTTGCTCTTTAAAGCCGCCCTGGACCTGCAGCCAAGGATGGCAGTGTGGTTACCTGGGGCGACCCAAGCTTTGGAGGGGACTCAAGCCGCCCGCATGACCTGGCTTTGTGTGTGGGCTGTCAAGCAGAGCAGGGCTGGCATGACTTGTTGCATTTTGCAGAACCGTTTTGATCGAAGTGCTGCTCCATTTGAGTTTCGCTAGGGAGTTAGCAGAATGATGCGTGATGCAATGATCAGGCTCCGTCCAACAGCAGCTGAATGCAGTGTCTGAGATTTGCTGCTCGCACGGCGCTTTTGCTGCGCTGTGTGGGCCTGGCCGTGTGGTGCCTCTTGACAGGGTGCAAGGAGCTGGCTTGCTAGCGCTGAACCTGCGGAAGCCTATGCTTGTCTTTTTTTGCCTGAGTATTCCGAACCAAGGACATGGGGCGACCCACAATTGGGGGGCGACTCCAGCCTTGTGCAGCCTATGCTTCAGGGCGTCAGGTGCCATCGGGCAGCAGTAACCTGTTCTAGACGTGAGCACATGCATCAAAAAGGTGGCTGACCGAGCATTTGCTGGCAGACTCTGCCCTAGACCAGCTTGTGAAATGATTTTGGTCAATTTGAGCTCGCATACAATGTGATGCGGGTTGCAAGATTGTCTTGCTGTGAATGGTTCAGGGAGTCGTGCAAAGCGGGTGAGCAATGTTGGGATCCAAATCTCACATGCAGAACATGTTTCGTGCTGGTGCAGCCCGCGCTAGGGGTCACTACCGTAAGGATGCAGCATCCGTGAGGCAACTTGCGGCATCACATGGAGCTTTTGCTGCAATCCTGGACAGCGGAGGAGTGGCTGCTTGGTAGCAGAACCCCATGTCCGTTCTTTGGCAAGTGCAGCTTTTTCAGGTGACCTGGGGAGATCCCGACATGGGTGGAGACAGCAGCCATGTGCAAGATCAACTTGCAGAGGCTGCAAGCAGTAGGATTGGGGTCTTATTCGTTCTTGCATTCGATGGGCTGAAACTGCATGACAATGACCCCAGGTAGCGGAAATTGTTGCCACCTTTGGGGCCTTCGCTGCCCTGCGTGGAGATGGCCGTGTGGTGACTTGGGGGGCTTCTGGGTTGCAAGACCGCGCGTAGGCTGGTAGTATGAGCGGAGGAAGATCTGTCTTGGAGAGAATGAGCCTTTCATGGTACGGTACATCTGCAAGGACCCGTTCTACAGCGGTGACAGCAGCATGGTTCAAGAGAAGCTGGTGGACGTTTGCCACGTGAAAGCTTCTGGCCGCGCTTTCGCTGCTATCCTGGGAGATGGAAGTGTCGTCACCTGGGATGGGAAAAGATTGCGAGATCGTGGAGGAGACAGCTCTGACGTGCAGGACCTGTTGAAGGAAGTGAAGTTCATTGCAGCCACAGACCAAGCTTTCGCTGCCCTTCGTTTGGATGCCCTGCTTTACAGTCCAGGGCAACGTTTGCAAAACAAAAATCAGCATCACCTTGTACTTTTGCTGCTCTTCTGAATGTAGTTAACCCGAAGCCAAGGATGCCCGTGTGGTTACCTGGGGCCACAAGCGCTACGGTGCAGAAGGCCGCCTTTTTGAGAATCGTCTTCGAGACGTTCAGCACATAGTCGGATCCGACCGGGCTTTTGCGGCGCTGCTGAACAACGGCCGCGTGCTCACCTGGGGGGATCCAAACGGTGGTGGTGACAGCCGCTTTGTGCGTGACGAGCTGCAGGATGTGATGCAAATTGCTGCTAGTAGTGCCGCCTTTGCAGCTCTGCGTGGTGACGGCTCGGTGGTCACTTGGGGCGATTCACAATCAGGCGGAGACAGCCGTGCAGTGCAGGCGCAGTTGAAGCAGGTCCAGCATGTCACAGGCGGGACACTTTTCAATACATAGAGCCCTCCCTCAAACAACTCAAGAAACTTGAAAAGAGACTGAGTAGAGTGCCGTATCCTCGGACAAGAGGTTGGAGCCTGAGGACTGGATCCTTGTCCTCATTTACTCGGATAGAACTTGAACTGTTCAACGTCTGCTCCCTTGACACAGTGACGCTGGGTACACGAAAACAATACTGATGCCCTGAATTCGATAAAGCTTGACATCAAAGGGGTCAGCCATGGGTACTCACATAACCACATCAGACAGAAACCCAGCAGTCTAGCTTCTTGTAAATTTCATTCTGTAAGTACTTGAATGACTTTGGATGTGCATCTATCTTCCCGATCAGGTTCGTTTCAGGCCTTTGCAGCAATGCTGGTGGATGGGCGTGTCGTGACATGGGGGAGTCCCAATTCTGGCGGAAACTGCAGAGAGATTGAAGAACAGCTTGCGCTCAGCAAAAAAGATGGTACGATGAAGGTCATTTGGGGTGTAGCGGGAATGGGATGATGGTGCAGTTAGCACTGCCCTGCCTTTTAGCCGTCAGGCTGTTAGACCTTGGGAGCCTTGGGCAAATTCCGATCACTGAAATACCCTAGAATCCAGAAATCCGCCTGCCCGCTTGTCATTGGCATTTTACATCGGCAGCCAAACAGGCGGCTTGTTATCCATCCTGACTGTTTGAGGCCCTCGCGCCCGGCCAGCCCGCTGAAGCAGGTGCACCGCTGAAAATTCTGACGATGTTATCGCAATTAGGCAGTAGAGGAATCAGAGTCCTTAGCCTCTGGCGTTTCTCCGTATACTGAAGTGTTGAGGCTTCATGACACCTCATGTTGTGCCAACTGCCTCAGCGCTGTGGGTGGTCGCTTAACAACAAACTAGCACGGTCTTGCTGCAGCTCCCTAGCCACTTATTGTAACCAGCCCGGTTTTCAAGTACTGTGGCACATGTTCTGTGCTTGGAAAAAGCATTCCATGACACATGCTGTCCTGCCGAGATACCACTCGAGCAACATGCGCTGCCATTGAAGCCCGGACCCCGTGCGGAAGCAGGCTTAAAGATCATGATTCAATCAGAGATACCATCGTCACCATCACCGCCGGCATCATCATGAACCCCTCGCCACCATGATCATCCGACTGTGCTCTCATTTGTTGGGTGTTGAGCTCTGAGATTTGCCCAGGCAAGGAAGCTTCTCTGCACCTCTGGTCTCATTGCAGAAGGCCTCTTGCAAATCAACGCTGCGCGTCATGGGCCTGAATAAGAAGCGGCGCAAAGACCGGAGCAAGCTACAGGCTCCATGAAATGCTTCTGCACAGGACATTGAGCGTCACTACGGGCACCACTTGCAGGTCCGCTGTGTTGTATGGTGGATGAACCTGCAAAGTTCAGTGCCAAAGCTGCGCAATGCGTACTGTCTCAATCAGTTTCCGTCTGACTCCATTTTCCTCCGGCGGTACAGGATGGACTGCGAGGATCCCGACCGCCATCCCGACCACAATCTGCGGGTGCACGGCGCAGGGGACCTTGGAGCTGATTGGCGGGGCCTTTTTCTCTCAAGAGCCATGTGGAGGAATACCTGGTTTTTACGACAGATCAAATGAGACCCTGCGAGGCAGCCCAAAGAGCAGAAGTATCAAGAGCATAGCAACTCTCCTGCCTAGGACAGCTCAACTACTTCAGCGAGACTGGAGGCCAGGCTTTGATTTCTGTATCTTACTGAATCCACTAGGAAACTACATGCAGGCATAGAGGGTTTCCCAGCCAAGATTGGCTTGGCAGCCTGGCTTGGGGCGCTGTAGAAAAATCCGCCCAAGTACCGAAGACTCAGTGGTGCGAAATCATGAAGTGATAAGAACAGCAGTCTTGGCATGCAAACATGCGGTTGCTGGATGGCACTGATGGCACTGGTAGTTTTGGTTGGAGGCACAGGACAAGCGAAAGACTGTTCCTTCGAGGCATGGCCAGGGTTCTGAGAACAGCAGATGCCCAGGCTGAGGTGGTCCAGGTTGCTGATTCCGCTCTGCAAAGGGTTCGGCATTACTTCAGTATTCAGTAGCATCAACGCTTTCAGTGCTGAAGTGCGAGCTTCATGCATCACCGCCGTTGCCAAGCTTCATCCAAATCCACGTGCCCGCCGCGCAGGCAAACTTTTCTGATGACATAGGCGCCGGCCCTTCAAGTCCAGTCAAGCTGCTCTTCGAAGTTGAGTAAGTTGTGAACTGCTAAGGCATGATCCGTGAGATGCACCAGCGCGGAAACTTGAATCTTTTTTGTATCAGCATCAGCGCAGTATTCGGGCATGTTCAACAGAGTACGGAGTACAGTATGCATGCCTTTGTTTGCAGGACTAGAGACCGATCTTAAAAGCTAGCCATCCCACCCAGCCTGGCAGGTTTCGGCGAATTCTACCCTTCTGCACGAGAAGCCGCACTCCAAGTTTGCTCTGCGCCTTTGCGCGCTGGACAGGGGCATACCCAGGCTTGTTCCAAGCTATGCACTTCCCACATTCTCGGGACAGAGCAAGAGAGTTAGTGCCAGGGGCCTAGCTGAAAAGGCATGCCTCTCGGTCAAGCTTTTGTGAACTCCATGGGGTGGCAGTCTGCTTGCTGGATACACTCCATAGCCTCGTCAGCGTTCTACCTCAGGTCGCTTGTAGCTTTTCTGGTCTTTGTGGCTGGGATCGTGGATGTGCCGTGATGTGCCCAGGCCTGGCGAGCAGGAGGGACTCTTTGAGGCTCCACACGAGGTGCGAGTTGTACCAGACTCTGTGGGTCGGGTCAGGGTCAAGGAGTAGAAGTTGCCGGTGCATCTGGTGACCAATGGTGGCAGATTATTGCTCGACATTTGTGTTTGCACGAAAAACTGCTGTCAACAGCCTCCTGCACGTGTGTGCTTGTCAGCAATGTGAATTTCATCGGCAGAGCGGTATACTCTGAGGCCCTGCTTGTACCCCAACCCAGAATTTGACAAAGGCTCGTGCCTTGCCACTGGCCCGGTTCGTAGAACAGCAAGCCAGCCCACGGTCTGTACTTGCGCAGGGCATCTGCAGGGCCACCAGCGCTCGCAGTGAGCAGAATTGGCAAGGGGCGTCAAAGTTGGACAGCTGTGCCAGCTTTGAGGGTTTGGGGGCGGCTTCAAGATTCGAGTTTCATGGACAAGCTCTCAAAACCAAGTGCAGCACGCCCCAAACCCGTCGCCACTGACGTTTCACGCTTGGACGGAGCCGGCGCTTAATCAGTGCTCTCCCTAGTGCTTTTCGAACACCTTGACCCCCCGCAATTTTCATCACGTTCTTTAGACATGCGTAACACACGACGGTGTTGAATGGTCGGCTGTTGACGTTTTGCGCTGACGCCAAGTTCTGCCTTTCAGATCCTGTAAGCCTCTGTTCGTCGGACAAGCAACGACTCGGTCCAAGCAGTTTCCTCACCACGCTGCCAAAGATGGTGCGTTGTGAGCAAGAAAGCCTAAGCTTCTGAAGTTTGGATGCGGGGCCAAACGGATTTACGTAAAAAGGGTTGATGTTGGTGAAAGCTTGGTGAAGCTTCCCCTCACGAGCCTCGGCTGAACCTCGGCTGAGAGATCCTCAGCTTCCATGCGCAGCCTTCTCCACGTCCTCACATTTGGGAAGAGGGAGGATGTTTCTATAGCAGAAGACAGTAGACAGCTGAGAGGCGCATTCTACGGTCCAAGAGTTGTCCGTTGGAAGTATAAACATCTTGAGCTTGAGAGAGGCGACGTATTGCCGTTTCTGTGGGGCTCGAAGGGCAAACGGACTCCCAGGCCAACACGCGAAAAGAAGCTCGCCAATACATATGCGTCTGCTTCTTTGTTCTGAGCGACTGCAGCAAAGTGACTGCGTAGATCCCATTGATGGATCTGTAACTTGGTCTTTGGGAGCTTGCGGTTGAAGATCATCGACAATGACCTTGAAGGGAGCAAACTTTGTGACATAAGTTGATGGCATAATGTGGAAGCTCACATCCTTTTTTATTTTGGAAATCGCGCAGGACGACGTGACGTCCAAGCTGGGCGACATCATCAAGGTGAATAATATGCTCAAAACGCAGGTGGGCAAGACTGGTTGGTGGGTGTCAGTGCATGCGAGCCTGTGTGCTCACTCCTGGAGTCTGACCATCTCACCAGGTCGAAAATGGAGCCGGCGAGCATATCATCGCCGATTTCGTCAAGCTTCTTCAGGTTCGACTTTCTGCCTTTGAAGTCACTTGCCATGTTTGGCCATGGCGATAGCAACCCTAAAGATGCCAAAGTCAATGAATGTAGCGGCTACTCCGCGCGATCCGCTCTGCAGTACCACATCTTCACGCTCTGCGACAACACTATCGTGGGCATTCCGCAGGCGTGAGCAGGGCAAGCATTAGATCAGAAGGCTGTCGAACGCATTCACTGAAGATTTAACTGCTCGGATATCTGCCGCTCGGCGTCAAGTCCTTGGTGCCAGGCCTGCACCAAGTCCAAGCGGCCTCTGAAGTCGATTCGGGAGCGGCTCAAGTCCAAAGAGGGCCGGCTGCGAGGTGCAGATGCTGTCAGGGCTCATGTCTGAAGTTTTGAATTTCGGGACAGACAAGAGTCACCAAGGCTATTTGCACGGTACTCTTGCGTACCCTTGCGAGGTGCTCAAATTAGCTCGGACACTTGACGTGAACATTTCTGTGCAGGCACGCTAATGGGCAAGCGCGCCGCTGGGCTGACAAGAGATGCACGGAGAGGGCTGTAAGATGGTTCAGGCATGTTTAGGCTTTTTTTGGGAGGCTGCGTTGTTGAATCTCTGTCTCTTTGCTCTCAAGAGAACTAGCCTGCTGTCCTTTTTTTGACGCTTCTTTTCACGAAAGCGTTGTGAATCAGATGCTTGCGCCCTGGCTAAGGTGGACTTCTGCGCGAGGAGTGTCATTGGGGGCGACCCAAACCTGGACACCGAACAAGTGGGCGTCCCGAGGCCAGTTCTCCGCAATGCTGCTCAATGCGGCTAGGGTGCTCTTGGGAGCTTGGCTGGTCTGTCACTCAATTGCGGTACCGCATCATTTGTGCCATGCTCCCAGAATGTTGGGATTTGACTATGTTCCTAGATTGGTGACTAGCATTCTGGAAACAAACAACAATCAGCAAGATCTTCATGATTGTGTTTCCTTATCACCAGGACATCAATAACGAAGGCCATCATGGTTATGCCTCCATCTGCTGGAGGTCAGTGGCTTTGAACCTTACCTTCCCGGAACGGGTCACTCCGCCGCCACCTTAGAATCGGCACACCGATCCGTGAGAAGTCTCTGGATCTGGTCAAGACGACATGCATACAGCGGGTTCAAACATAGAACTTCTCAATGTGACGTAGTTCGCCTCAGGGGCCCGCAGCTAGCCACTGCTTGTTGAGAGGGTGTCGCTTCGCGGCGCCTTGAATTCCCTTGACTAAGTCTTTCAGGTTGAACGCCCACTGGCTGAAGGAGCTGGTGAAGAATGGGCCGACGACCTGGCCTGGCGCCAGGCGCCTTTGCCTTTTCCAAGCTCTTGGATTGAGGGTTGAGGGTTCAAACTTTACGCACCTGATGAGCTGATGCCCGCACAGCCTACTATAACATAGGCCTAGGCAGATTGACTCAAGTTCAAAGATTGCAAAAGAGCGCCACTAATCACATGTTGTATGTACATCCTGAATGCAGGCAATGATGTTCTTCACACCGGCGTTGGTGTAGCAATGCGACAGCACTACAAGCATCCGTGGGTTGCTTTTAAGAATCACTTCGCAAGCCATGAAGGCCTGCGAGCAGTCTTCAAGTAGCCAAAGCTTGGCAGACAAAAGCCACACAAAAGCACCAGCAGTCAGCCTAATCGGGTGTCATCAATCTCTAATCATGATGTACGTGTGTGAGCGAGTTCTGCTTGAGATACATCATCCGTGATGACGGCAGCCGCATTGATCTACGGTGGGCCCTGCATGTTTTCTCTGCTTGCTCCCAGCTGTCACGCAGAAGACAGCAGTGTTTGAATTTGGTGCTGCTGGCCAGGTATGTTGGTGACCGAGAAGCGATAGATCTTCAGCATGACGCTCAGTCACGAAAGGCAACGCCCCTCTTTGCTTCAGTAGTCCAGTGCTTTTCCGGAGGATGTCAAATGAGATCGCGCTTTGCCAAGAGTAATGGAGTGGATGTGGTACGCACTCGTCCAGACCTAGGTTTGGCTGGCGCGTCGAGCGCCACATGCTTGACGGAGACTATGTTGGTACCTAAGACAAAAGCTTTTCTGTCGGGGTTAGCAAGGAACGCATTCACCTACCACTATCACTGTATCCGCTAGCTCACGCCCTACGAGTAGGAGCTTGAAGCCAAACAGGCTTGAGAGATTGCAGGCTCAGGGTGCTGGTCGCAATGTGTCCCGCTTGTTGCTGAGTCTTTAAAGGATGTTCTGCTTGTAGCTCAGGTGATCTTCAATCGTCAGCCTTCGTTGCACAAGATGAGCATGATGGGCCATAGGGCCAAGGCGCAAAACTGCTGTAGTACCTTGTTGTGCGCAAAAACGTCTGGGAGAATCCTAGCCGAAGACTTGAGGTTGTGACCAGATTTCTGAGCGATGAAGCAGTCCTCCAAGTTTGGACCGCATCAACAGCTGTGCGAATTGAAAGTCGTTGTGTGGACTTAATTTTGCAGCATCTAGCCCCGGCATCTGCCAACACAATGCCCCAACAGCCAACTTTTCTGGTCTTGCAGCATCCGAAGCCTCAAGCCCGGAACAGGTCATGCCCTTTTCCACATTGCGCTTTAACCTTGCCGGATACTGAATTGATGCCCGCATATCTGCATTGCAATGTTTGCGCACATTTCCCGATAAGCTCTTGGTCGCTTCTTGAATGTCACGCTGAGCTGCGTGCATGCTCCGTTCTTCAACAAAGTTCTGCGTCCGGCAAAGTCTCGAGCCTATAGCAACATCAGTTTGACTCACTGTTTCTGCAAGCCTTCGAGGCTGTGACATCGCCATACAACGCAGATTTCGATGGTGATGAGATGAACTTGCACCTAGCCCAGGCGGGCTGCCAGCAGACTTGGGTAAGCAGTTCTTGGTGAGCAAAAAGCTATGTGCCGCTGTAGAGCATTTAAACACATTTCGACGCGAAGCAGCGCCGGCAGCACAGGGAGTGAGCAGCAAAATCTACAAAGTTCAGCAGCAATCACGAGGGCAGGACGTTTTGCTTAATCCGGGCCATGTCAAAGTGTTGGATTGTCTGCTATCCGCACAGTCCCAAGAGACGCGCGCGGAGATCAAGCACATGATGCTGAACCCTCGTCAGGCACGACAGCGTTGCAAGTGCTGGATAAGCATTCTGCCATGTGAGGGTTGAGGTGACGGGCTTCCTGACTTTCGTTTAGTGACGCCACTCTGCACATGGCAGGTCGTGTCTCCCCAAGGCAACAAGCCGGTGATGGGCGTCGTGCAGGTGCAAGCCCTGCTCGAGTGAGGAGTCAGGAATGATATGAGTCGCGGTCAAAATTACCG